CTAGTGACATTCCTGCTTAAAAGGCTGAAATCTGGAGCTTGTTACATTCAGCAGTTATGACTAGTATACCAAGCTGGAGAACTACCTTATCTGCCTAGTGTTTATAAGGATTTCAAGCAAATGCTTTGCATGTGACATTCTGCTAAAAGTTTGACTTAATAAATTATTTAAAATGCTATAATTGGGAGCTTGTTTCTTACCACATTTCCTGTTTTAAGAGAAATTTCTTGTGGTAGCAATTCATGCTTTATTAGGAATATTCTAATTTCAATGGAGCATTAAGTTCGAACTCGCAGGCTGTTCATGGTCACATACATTGTTTATGATCTGCATAGTTGCTGAGAAACTCTGGAGCATATATCAAAGCAAAGTATTGTTCTACATGACAATTTGATCAGAATTTTTCTCTGCTTTATGTCGAAAATGACTAATTAAAAATTGATAAGTAAATTTACCAAGAATTGGTAAAGTTAAGCATTCTGAACAGTCATACTGTCAGAACTTACACAAGGCAAGGTATTACGTATTTCTGATTGGCAAGTTTCTAATGCAGGTGATTTTTTAAGATGATATGCATGCTGGAACGATGAAGCTTTTCAATTACTATCTTTTTTAATCCTAAAAAGCATACAGGATGCTAAATTTGAGCTTGCCAGCTCTTCGGAACTGATAGAGTATGTGTCCTTTTCACAGATTAAGGAGTCTACTGAGAAGAAGGAAGATTCTACTAGCTCTAATGAAAAACTGGCAATGCTGCAAAAGGTGACTTCTTTGGTTCTTAAAGTTGTTTCTTTCTCCTTGAAATATTTTGTTCTTATGATCAGGACCCTCTATGTTTGATTTTTCATTCTCCATATCCTTCCTCATAGGAAACGCTAGAAAACTGAAGTCATTTAATCATGATTTTACTGGAAAGTCTGTTTATCATGCCTTCGGTGTGGTAAACTAAAATGAACGTTAGACTGACTTTCCTTATCACTTATCAGTCCCTGAAACTGTGTCAAACAGCTGTTGTTATTGTTACTTAAAATGTTGGACTTGAAGACTAAAAGAATGCCTCAAATATGCTTTCAGTCTCTTTTTGTGCCTCTATTTCATTAAAGATTGTAGAATTCCTATGGTAGTAAATGTAACTTACAAGCTCTTTCAGTTATGAATTTTTGCTATTTTATTGACAAATTGCAATGTAAACAGGAAAATGCTGCTCTACTCAAGCAGGTGGAAACATTAAAAAATGAGCTTGAGGCTGAGAAACGGAGGTGTCACTCAGAATAGAGAAACGGACAAAAATTTGTTGATATTTGGATTGAGCACAATTTCACCTGAACTCATTGCTTGCCAACTAAGTGCTTCAGTGGTCCTGTTTTTGCCAAGGAATCTGCTGCTTCCAGGGTTATTCACACAGCAAGACAGACTTGGAAGTTGTTCTATCCCAATGCATAATTTAGGCATAAAATTTTCATGTATTAGGTTTGAGGAGTAGGCATAGTTTTTGAATATGGGAAAATTCTCTCTCTTTCCTCAGGAGATGGGTGAAGACCAGGAAAAACAAAGTCTATCGTTTCCTTTTTTTAGGGGAAGAAAAAGGGTATACCTATTTTTGTATTTTCATTTATTTCTTGAGAGACTATGAGATTGGTTACTTGACAGCTTTTGATTAATTTTCTGGACAAAATCTCTTTTCTAACAGATTTGCATTAGTTTTCTTTATTTGCCATCTCTGTTTTGGACTCTTTCCATACCAAGCCCGAGTGGATGTAACAGATGTTTCCTTGCAAAACGGACCCTAGACCTGTTGCTTTTCTTCCACTAGTCGCTAATCTTGTCCAACATGGCATGCACATATTCAAAGATATGAAAAACAAAGGGAAAAGAAACATCCATTGTTGAAAGAGACTAACAAGGAAAGACACGAGAGAAATGCTTTTCTGCAACTGAAAACCGCAAGCAATGATAAAGATTGGTTGGACAGTTTTTATTTCAAGTCCTTTCAAGGAGTTTGAAAGGAAGATTAATACTGGTTTTAAAGCAAACTTTCTCATAATATATGGAACACAGTCTTGGTGACATGGTGACATAGTCCTCGGATTGAGCTACGCAGTGAAAAGCTTCCTACTAACAGAAGATTAACTCTGAATTTAGAGCAAATTTTCATTTTACATATCGAAGCAAAGTACAATATAATAGCAGACAGATAGAGGTCTGGTCTAATAATTGGCGTTCATGGGCAGTAATTGTTGCTGTTCTTAGCAATAAGTAGCAAGCAGTATCAGATGGAGATTATACCAATACAGCATATATGGTATCTTTCCCCTACCTTGTTAGGACAACTGTGACAGCCAAGATAGCTTGTTAAAACATCAGTTATTCCTAAACTAGATGACTTCTGATCATGTTAAACAACAGTCATTGCTCAACTAAGTGGGGGCCTATTCTCGATCAGGGGTGCTTGCCGAACAATCAGGATCTGTTGTAGGGTTAGATTTCAGTTCATGGAGAAATCTTGTTATGGTCTGCACAAATGCTTCCCCATTGTCAGGTTGATTTGCAGAGGCAGGGTCAATTGAACTGCTGCTCCCTCTAGTGCCCTACAAAAAAACAAATACTGCATCAGTCATCGGAGGAAAATCAAGGCAGAAACCACAGCAAAAAATGATGGATAACAGTCTTAAATATCTCGTTGAAAAGAAAACTTGCTTGTCATTATTCATGTCAATGCCATGCTGTTGACTTTGATGTACCAAGAGATGTGATTTTACTTTTGTGCAATTATGTTTGAGACAATACTGTGCCATGAACATGAATGCACATAATACTGATCATTCTTCCTTCTATCTGAAGTTAACAGGTGATTGGTAAAGAAAAGTCTCATTGTAAAAAGAAAGGATGAAAGAAACTACTTGAAGGACATAAAGAAATTACCCTTAGTCGCTTTGGTGGTCTGGTTCTAACATCCATCATCTCAACAAGCTCATCAAACTGAGGAGAAAACCCCACGACTAAATCAACTTGTTTCCACTTTTAACAATGATTATTTATCAAAACAGAAAAGTGTAACCATGCTTTACCTTTCTTAGCCTTTCAGCTAAGATTAAGTGTAAAACTATATGTAATATATCTGCAAATTTTTGCATGGTATAAGAGCGAGAATTCTTAGACTCGTGATAATATCAAAATCCCACCTGTCATTCCATTTATAGTCTACTTTATGCAACAATGAAAAATACATGTTGAGAAAAGAAAGGAAAAGATCAAATGATGGTGCCAAAGCCGCCTTATGCCATTAGCAATTGACATTGAAAATACCTGCTTTACAATCTTTTGATACTTCCTTAAACACTGGTATAGCCTGTTCTCTTCTTCTTCTTCCGTAGACATTATCAAATACTCAATGATAAAATGTTACAAGAATGAGGTAAAAAGAGCTTGATATATATAGGCGGCTGAGAGCTTTGCCATTAACATGAAAAGTTTGTTGCCTTTTCAAGAATCTGATATGTGGCCGTTACCAACTGCCTTTCTATATTAGATAATGAAAGAAGAGAAGAGACCGTTATTTTGCCACCATTTTTATCTTCCTCTATAAGCAGCCAAACGAAATCCTTGTGATGACAAATCATATGTCAAAGCTTTCAGTCTGACAGAGAGAGGGAGGTTACCACTCCTAGAAATAAGTAAGATAGGGCCAACTGAAAAAGAGAACAAATCACTAGCCAAAATAACAAGAGAATAACACTTTATTAACTGCAACAACTTCCCATGTCTGCCGCCAATGAACTGATAAGACTGATGAATATTACATAAGAGGACTCCTCTGCCATCTTAGGGTAGTTTATCTTTTTGCAAGTTTGAAGTTCATGGTTTTTGATTGATTGATCTAAACAACAATATTGGCTGTCTGTTGATTTTAATAACAACTGTGATATTCAGTTGATTCCTTTCTTGTTTTCTAGTGCTGGAGTCCTATCCTTTCATATATCTGTAGTGTGAAACTCAAGCTTTTTCATCCCCACGAAATGTGGAAACTTCAATTCTAGAATTTCGAGGTCAAAGAAGAAAGCTGACACAAACCAAAAGAATTCAAGAAACATGCAAATCGTGAACTATGATTGATTACATATATAGACAATGAGACTATATTTGCTGACTTCTCATATGACACGTGTTGTTCCTTAACTCAATTCTAGGATTAATCTAAAACCCGTTTTATGTTTCAACAACGACCATGAAGAATACAACCGACCACGTGATTTCCTTTACTTATTATCAATATCATGTGAAAGAATAACCATGGAGGATTTTCCATAAGCGTGTAAAGTGTGTGCTGCAGAAACCATCCAAAACAAAAGGCAGACACCACTTTCGGATTAATGCTTTGAAACCCAGTCATTTTTATGACAGCAAGGAACGAAAGATGTACCATGGAAACTTGTATAGGCATCTCCAATCCCATGGTTTGTTCGTAGAGGATTTTTAGAGTAAATGGATTTGAAAGGTACCAATAAAGAGGTAGCTCATTTAGTAAGTTCATTTGTCTCAACGTAAGTAATCATGGATTAAACTCCTGCCGGTGATCCGTTGTGCCCCTGTTGGGTTCTGCACATAGCTTGTGGGTTGAGCAGCCTAGTACTGGGACTATCAGCCTAGGCTGGATAAGAAAAATCACTCTGTTGAAATAGGAAATCCATGATCAGCAGGTAATAAGCACTGGGGTTTGAGAGAAAAGGGGGAAGCAATGCTAAGTAATTTATAATTTAATGGTTTTTCCCTCCAAGATATAAAAATTGTATTCAAAATGAAAAAAAAAAAAAAAACCCTTAGCAAAAATGGTATATATACACTGTTGGTGCAATCAACAATACAACAGATTGAAAAGGCTGCACAACATTACAATGTACAATCATTGCTGGGATGCCAATGACCAGAAATTCAACAGAAAGGATGGTGACATGGCAAACCAGCTAATAAAAGCCATTGCTGTAGCAGTCTCAAACTTAGTGCAGTGGTTCATGGCACATTTATCAAGATCATTACCAATCAGGACTGTGATACCAGCAGATGCACAAGCAGCAGCAAATGTAAGGGTCGAAGTGATCTGCACCAAAACATCACCAGTTATTTCAACTATCAAATGAAGTAAATCCCATTCCCAGTTAAGGCAATGACTAAAATCCCCACCTCCAGCACGCAAAGCTACCCCCCAAAGATTGTGCAATGGCATACTAGCATGTACATTGAGAAAAATAAATGTGACAAACAGTGTCAATTATCCATTTCTATGTACCTATGTCGCCAAAAGCAGAGGAGGAAATGTTTTCAAAATTAGCTGGAAACTTTATTTGCAAAACCAGAACAGCTAGTACTTGGTGAAATGTACTTCAGCAAGGCTTAAATGACAGTTTTCCTGGGACTACCAAATAAGGGTCTCTCTCTTTAATGATTTAAAGTATCAGATCCTTTATTCTCTTTTAAAAGATTTCTGTCCACAAACAGGAAAGGTAAAATTCCAAGAATGAATATAATCTCCAGCACCTATTATAATAGCTTTAACCCTAAAGAACTATAATAAGCATTGTGTCTGTATAAAATCAACCTGCATAGTCAATGTAGTGAAAAATGTCTAACCCAAACATTGGTTAACAAAACCATAACATAGCTCCCATTAACTGAAACTCAACTTCAGGTAATGGCATTAAAAATTTATGAAAGGATGGAACAATAACAACCCTACAAGTATCCTAGAGTTAAATCAGTAAATATATGGCAACCAAAACAATAATCTAATGGTATGCTTTGCTGAAGACTTTGTATGCCTGATCAAGAGCTTCTTACCCCATCGCCAATGGTGAACAAACGGACTACTATGTAATTCTGCAGGCTTCGTTTCACCAAAAGAGCATATATGTCAACAAATGCCAGGGACAGGCTCCACAAACTTTGCAACCCAACAGCAAGAACGAGGTAGCTGATGCATTAAAAGCATGACAAATTCATGTTACAATCAAGATGAAGCATGAAATTATCATTGTATATCTAAAAGACAAATAAAAAATGCTGAAACTGTTTCGTAATCTCTGCTTATAAACCAAAAACTGGTGTAGTTTTGTCACACACTTAGGCATAAGCCTTACTTTAGCACATTTTCACTGATCGTACACCCACTGGTAACTGAAGCTAACCGAGAGCACAAATGAAAGAAAATAACTAACAATAGTAGAATTAATTCAGAGTTGTCACCACCTCTTGAAAGCTATCCACTTTGTTGGAGAGATTCAAAGATCAAATAGTTTAACCACCACAGGAAATATGCTAAACTACAGCATTTTACTAGTATAGAGCATCAAAAGATTGTAGAATGTGGAACAACTACATTGATCATCAAAGTCTTGCCATTTCTTCAAATGTATTATAGAAAAAGTGTAAGCGTTACAAACATAGACATTATGGCAAACAAACAGACATCTCACACGAAACATTTGTCCGTAAACAATCCAAACATAACAATTTCCCATATGTCTGCTTGAAAGATCAGAGTTCTGTAGAAAAGCTTCAAACTAAGAAACTTGCAGTTGGTTTTATAACTAAAAGATGATAATGCTAGTAATCTCATGTGATCAAGACCAACAAATTTGAATGTAACTCCATTTAGCTCAACTTCTTACACTCTATTGGGTGTTTGCATAAACAATGAAAACTGGAATTTACACTAAGAAATGTCACAACTCAGAGCCATCCTAGAAAGCCTCACTAATTAATCAATTCAACATAAAACGCAACTAGCCAAAACAAAAAAAGATTGAAACATTGGAGTCCGAAGGGGAAATGATAAGAAGGGTAATTACGAAAAAGCGGTGGCGGAGCGGAAATCATCGGTGGTGGCCATTACAGAGACAGAAATGATGGCAAACATGAACTGGGAAAGACGCAGAAAGAGGCCGCCTTTAGTTCCAGGCATGCCTTGGACGTCCTTCATCCTCACTCTAGGATGGTGCACTGCCGCGTCCGTAAACGGTGGAGCCTCCACCGGATGCACCACCGGACGGCTCACGTTCATTGGTTTCTTTCTCTTATTCTCAGTCCAGTTATCCTTCCCTTTTATCGAAAGCTGGGAGTTTAATGGAATTGGAAGGAGAAAAAAGGCTCTAATTTTTCCTTTTTAACAGAGTGAATTGGAAGTTGGAAGGGGAAAGTGGGTCGAGTTCCCCGTCTGTGTGGAACTGCTGGGCTCTGGTTAACTGACTTTAGTTAAAGAGTCAATGCTGACTGTACACTGTTGAATCTGAGCCGTTAGTTTCATAAACAGTGGGGCCTAGTCTTGATGTACTAAGCTGATGAGACCGGCGTTGATCTCTAACAAAAAGTCAAAATTCAGAGGACATATGCTTGCTTTTGGCCTGCAACTTGCAAATGGGGATAATCAAGCAAGGCACTTTCTCTTCACCGCTCCCCCATCTTTCACCAAATGCTGCTACAAAATGATCTACTTTTTCACGATTTTTATTCTTTTACTATTACTGTAGACCTTGTTATTGTAGTTGCGAGGATTTCTAGAACACTGTTTTTTGTTGTTCACGGGCCAAAACAGAACAGGGAATTATGCCATTGAAATTGGATCTTTGCTAAAAGAACAACCAAAATGGGAACTTTTATCAGCAAGTAAGCCTGTTGAACACCTTAACAATTAGATAACTAACGATTTACAGTCCTGGTTTCACCAACTTCATCCCCAAATTAAATAATTGGAAGGATTATACAGTCTTTGAAGCTTACTTGCTGATCTCTATAACCACTCAGCTCCAAATTCACATCAACATAACAATACAGGCAAGTGATCTCATGCCAAAGGATTGCAATATAAGGACTAAGAGCAACCAGGCCTAATGGCCAACCAAAACAATAGTTCAACAGGGTGACAAACCAGACTCAGTCCACTACCCATGCATCAGGACCATCACCGTAAGAGCCCCCAAACCCCACATAGCATAACTCAATTCGTACTGTTCCCAGAGAAAATAAGGCTTGTTTGATCCGGTGGAAAACCTTCCTTATCCTGAAACTGGGTGCCTCCCAGTACCCTCAATTATGAACATGGGTGCTGGACCTTTCGGGCTGTCACTAGGACATTTTGTGGGCTGGCACCTAGACGAATACTATCAAGGGCTTCATAGTAGAGCTTGCGCTTGCTATAATAGGTAAATACGATTTGGCCCAATGGGCGGAGTAAGTTCTCTCTCTTTTATTTGTAAATATGATTGAGAATTTTTGCTTTCTTTTTATGTTGGCTAAATACTCAAATAAATTTTTTAAATTATATTAAGAAAGTTAATTTAATCTCTATCTTTTTAATTATTTCAAATAAATTTTTAAAATTTTATTTTGAGTTAAATAAACTCCTTCAAGAACTATTCAGTAATTTTTTATTACACATGGTATGTTGAAATGTCGTTTTGATGACGTCAATAAGACATGCCATATGACATGGTATAAAAAATTATTGACTTGAAATTGAGTTTTTTTTTTGTAAATGTTCAAAAATTATCAGTTGGATAAAAGAGAAAAATCTCAATTCTTAGTCAATAATTTTTTATGCTACATCATTAATCATGTAACATTGGCGTCATAAAGATAACATATTAACATGTCACATGAAAGATAGCGTAACATCAAAAATTACTAATTATACTATTGATTAAAGAAAGTTAATCAACGATTAGTGTGAGAGACTTACTTAACTCAAAATGAAAAATTAAGACTTATTTAAATGTAATAAAAAATAAAAATTAAATTAACTTTTTTGATATCATTCAAGAATTTATTTACATATTTAGTTTTTTTATGTTATTAAACAATAGTGATGCTTTGTTTTTTTCCTTTTATGGAAATTAGCCATTATCCCTGAACTCAAACTAATAATGGAATACGGAGCCAAATGCCAAATGGTGACCAATGTTCCTGCTCTAAGTTGCCAAAATCTTTAACTACTTCCTGGTCCAATGCAGCAGAAATGGATACCAACTGCATTACTATCATGCAGTTGGTGGACTGTGTTTTTTGTTTTTCTTTTTCGTATATCGATGGATGATAGAGTGGTCCTCCTACAAGCTGCTATGGATCTTAAAACTCATTTAAGAAAAATGAGACCATTGCGACTAACTTGTAGAACTGGGCTTCCTAGTTCCAAACAGTGTGCTGACAGCTGAGTTTGGGGAATTTTTCTTGTGGATAATTGTTAAGCTTTAGAGTGGGAGCCGTGTACACTGTCTGCTGACTCGAGCACTCCAAGACAATGCAAAAAGGGCGTTGAGTGTAACTCATCGCTCACTTCTGTCTTGATGGGTCTGACGCTGCATCAGAATTTTATTGGAAACCGGGCTTCGTCAGTTTGCCACCGTACCTTTTACCCCCCAATCACCCTTTTTTGCTCTCAATTAACGTACCAACAGTTTTGACAAGACGCCATTGATGAGGATATCGACAAGTTTGACACTCTACTAAGTTTGGGCTTATGTTGGTGCACCATTAGCCAGCCCATTGGTGAGAGTTTTTTAACCATTGACGGTGTTGTTCCCAGCTTGATACGCAAAGCCATTAAAATATCAGAAAGGAGGGACGCAGTTGTCGTGTCACGCGTTGAAATAACAGCGACACGTCACAATCATGGGGTCGGTCTACGTGTCAGTCGCAGTCATACATTTGGATGGATGTTGGTTAATTCAGTTACAATCAACACCACAAAAAAAAAAAAGGAAGCCTGGTTTAACCGTGGGGACCACCGAACTGGTTCGTGGCAGTTGCCATGTCATCTCCCCCCGAATCTCTGTCGTTTCAAGAGGTGACCCCTTTCTCTTTTTTTTTTTCTTCCAATGGTAAAAAAACAAAAAGAGATTAGCAAGGACTTTTGACAGTGACTTCTATCAACAAAGGGCCCCTTTTCTTTTTCGTTTTATTTTCTTTTTCTTTTTTTTTAATTTCTTATTTGATTTGTTTTAATTGTAAGTCCTACTCCTGAATTGGGCGCTTCTTTTTTTAATATTACAAAATTGTAATACTTTCATATTGTATAATAAAAATCATCATATTAATTATAAATTATTATATTTAATACAAAAATATTATTTTAAATATCAGTTAAAAGTTTCCTTAAATAATAGTTAACAAAATAGTATTTCATAAGCAAAAAACCGTGACAGCAATGAAGTAATTAATGGAGAAATAAAAAATTAAAGCCACGTGAAAGGCAAATAAAAAGAAATCATGCATGGGAAAACATTATTACCATTCATTTAACTGCTTTAATGGGTATTAAATGCAAAAAACAAAGAACCCTCCCTAGAAGTTTCAAATTAATTAACAGCAGCGACAACCAGTCCCCGACATCAAAAGTCACTTCCTTTTCTTCACAGAATAACAGCAACAATCAATATCTCTTCCATAAAAACTTTGGGATGATTTCACTGCTTTCTTATAAAACACCACACAGGCATTTAATTTACAGATCTCTTCTAGTCACCCACGTAAAGAATACGAATTGGCTTTCCAGAATTTATTACTTATCCTAAACAGTGTTTTTTCCTTGTTTTTCAAAGCGTGAGTTGAGCCCAAACAATTTTTAAAAAACGGCCAGGAAAAAGTCAAGAATTGCAGACAAATTAACCATGCTCATTCAATGCTAATGACGTACTTGTCTCATGTACTCTGGCCCCTTTTTCCCGTGACTTGGATCTTTCAATGCAACTACCCTTTCCTTTTTCCCCTTTCCTTTTCTTTTCTTTCAGTGTTTGATAACTGACTGTTTCTTGACGTAATTCTAAAGCCAAAAGTAAACACTAGGGGCGGAGGTTGTACCGTTCTCCTAGACAGCCAATAATGTCGTTTATTTTATTTATATAGGGTGGGGAGGGGTTTTGTTTATCTTCTAGGTAGAAAACTTTTGCTTACTTTGGTGGGAAAAAGTGGGAACTGAAACAAAGCCTTAATTTAGCCCTTTTACCTCTTTGCTAACAAAAACAAGGCTTTGGGAATGGTTTTTGTCTCCCCATTTTCTTCTCTCCCTCTTTCGTGTGTTTTGACCATTGGGTTATGTTGACTGCTTTGTTTCCTCTTCACTCTAGTTGTCAGTTTTTCTTTTTAATTTGGAGAAGGGGAAGCTAGTAAGAAATCATGCAGCACCAACCGATAAGTAAAAAATTCGGATGCTCACTTTAATTATCAGCTTAATTTACTGTTTTGCATTAGCTTTTATCAGATAAAATGGGTTAATAGTTCAACAAGTTGGAACATCAGTGACTTCTTCTCGATACGATCGAAAATGTGAGAAAACTGCATATTTTAATTAAATTGCATGCCAGACTCTTATTTGGAATGACCAAGTTATCTTATTTTAGAGATATTTGCAATGCATGCTACGTCTTAATTTTATGTTAAAAGAAATGGATTCGTTTCTTCTACAAGGGAACACGAGGTTAGTGAGGTTGGATGTTTGGAACAAGTTCCTAGATAAGGAAAAGTGAGAGAGAAAACGTTGATGAAACGGCTTCAGGGCTTTCACATGATCCAACTAAGGATCTGGTCTGGTCTGGTCGCTCGCTAAGGATTGCTTATGTCCCGGGTTCTTCTGTTGTCTGTCGGTGTGACTCTCTGACTGTAAAAAATTTCAACCTTTTTCCGGCTCTGCCCATTCATGATCATCATACCGCATGAACCCTCCATCTCATTCTCTCTTAGCCCATTTCATTGAAAAATAAAATAAAACAAGAAAGGAAAATAGCCGGGAAAACCGCAGTCAAAGGAGGAATGGAAGGTGAAACAAGAACAGGCAACAAGCCCGGTCATCGAAACGCCGCAACACATGCAACGCTTAGCTGACGTTGGCCACACGTGAATCCATCAACTTGATTAACCTTTAGCTAAAAACTAAAAACCCTTTTAGTTTTCTTTTTCCCCCCCACGTGGGTCCTTCCCCCCTGGCTTTCTCTCTCACACGTGCGGCCCTGATTGAGATTTGAGAATATGTGTTCTCCCTTCAGATTTTTTTCTCCACTTGTGCTTTCCAGCCCCT